CTCCTTAATTCTAGGTTGCTTCTCTCCTTGATTAGTTTCCATCCATTGTTTCTTGCCTTCAGGTGCTTTGGAGAATTGGTTGACCCCCCCCTCCCTCTCTTTCTAACACAAACAATGCCATCCTTAACGAAAAAGGCAGTTTGTCCGCTGACTTTGGCAATACTAATATTTGTGGATGGTTTTTTAAAAAAAATCTTCATTTCACCTCAAGCAAAGTGACTAACTAGGCTTAATGACCACAAAATGCTGAACATACATTTTGAGAAGAGGAAAGAAAATGGGGGGAAGGTGAGAAAGAGGAATTGCATGAAGCATTTGGGGGGGAGGGCAGGGTGCCCTGAGTGTAAGTATTGCATCTTGCAACATCCTGTCCTTCAATGTGTCTGTCCTGACACCCCACCCCCCCCTCCACTCAGGGATTGCAGACCATAGGCGTTCCATTGGCAACCTCTAAAATCCTCATTCATTACAGGAGGGAATGACATTTTCTTTTTTGCCTTCTTATTTATGCAATTTGTTTATATCTTCCAACATTCTGCAAATGTCCTTTTGCAAGTCTCATTGGTGGCACTTCAGATTCTAAGGCATGCTAATTAAACAGCAATGAAACCTTTTTAAACATGTCTCTACATTTCTGTGCAGGATATGCCTCCAAGAAACCAAAAACTAGGAGGGAGTGCATCCAAGCAAATGGTCAATGCCAATTGAGATGCAGATTTCCACTCCAGGTGTATGGAAAATGTGGCCGTGTGAGGAAATGTTGCGTCAGGTAATTTTTTTTCATCATTTGACAGATTCCACATGTTGCCAGTGGGTGATTTTTTTCTTCCTGACCCACTTGGAAGCAGTGATCGTTTTCCTAAGTTTAAGAGTCTTTTCTATATTTATGTAAAACTTTGTTATATGGGAAATTTATCCTCTTAAAATGTTAATGCACATTGAGCAGTTATGTGCTTTTCAATCCAAGTAGAGTAATGTTGTCTGAGGTTTTGACTTTGTCATATTTTAAGAGTCTTTAATCCAGTAAAAATGCAATATGGATGAATATATCTTGGGAAGAAATATTTCATTTATTAATCAAATTTAGATAGCCACCAAATTCATGGAAATTGACTCTGGGCAACAATACATTCAGAACTATCATTGCCTAAAATGTTTGTAGAAAATTGTGGAGAAACATTAAAAATTCTAAAAGCAGAACTCAGCAAGAAAAGGAAAATAACAGATCAAGGGAAATCAATAAAAAAAGTCTCCAGGCCTGCTGGCATAACTGGGTTTTAAGGGTAATTCTGAAAACTGAGGATTGATGAAGGATGATTCATTGGTGGGTGGGAGGAAGAGAAGATTGCACAATGCAGGAGCCATATCAAAACAGGCCGACTACCAAAAGTAGCTCCTTAGACAAAGGAACCTGTAACATACTTGTTCCGTTAGATGTGGTCAGAGGGGCAAATGAAATCAGGAAGAGACAGTCCCTCAAATATCCTTATTCTTCTGAATGATCTGACATAAAGTGAATGGTATATATACAAACATGTTGATAGAATAGCAATAGCACTTACACTGATAGACCACTTCATTCTGCTTTACAGTCCTCTCTAAGTGGTTTACAGAGTCAGCATATTCCCCCCCACCAACAATCTGTGTATTCGTTTTACTGACCTCTGAAGAAAGGACGATTGAGACAACCTTTGCCTGGTGAGCTTTGAACTGCCAAACTGCAGTTAGCCAACAGTCAGTAGAAGTAGCCTGCAGTGCAGCACTCTAACCACTACATCACTATGATTCATAACGAAAGAATATGAAACCTCTCTGTGGCACATCAATGGGAGTAATAGAAAAAGATTTACCATCGAAACTAACTTACTTTCTTCAGCTCCTGATTCTGAGGCAAGGAAAAGGTTTTCCAAATTTTTCAGGAATGTGGTCATCATAAAAGTAGCAACCTGAACCTTAAAATAATTGAAGCTGGCCTTTAAAGTTCAATCATATCATGAACATAGGGTTTTTCTCATTTGACTTTCAGCTTATTGTTTTAATTTGCTTGTATCCCTCAATAGACGAAAACCAAAATAAAATCCTATTGCAGACAACTCACCATTTATCTTTTGAAACACCGGAGAAGTCTTCTTG